TGGCTTTTATATCAATTGGAGGCGTCTTGGAGTGAAAATAACCGAGTCCAAGTCGGAATAGGACACTTTCACGTTCCGAGCGTCCAGGGCAGCGTGGGGCCCTGGCCCTGGCGCTCAAAATATTGCATACTGGAAACTGCGCCACAGCCAGCGCCCGACGCTGGCTGTGGCCCTCAAAATTGACTTTTTGCCTTTTTGCTCCGATTTCGCTCCAATTCGCGCCCTTTCGTCCGAAATTGCATCCGAATGATTCCTACACATAGAAACACCATAATTTAGCGCAAATCATCATATTAAACATCTCAAATCATCGAAACAAGAGCAAAATGTGAGGCGATATATATCAAAATATACATACTTTATGCCGATTATCAACACCCCACACTTAGACTCTTGCTCGTCCTCGAGCAATGGAACTAAATCAATCCCCCAAAACATACTTATCACTATGAAAGAGCACTTCACAATTAATTCAATCAAACACCCTACCTTTGGACTATGATCTATATCGGCAATCAAGTATGAACACGCAAATTTCACATTCTTCCCGTTTTCAAATTAGCCCAAGTATATACAATACTATTCAACCAACTCAAGCAACCTCTCCACAACCACCTTACCTAAGAGATGACTCGTTACACTAAGTATCCTCAACTTACACACTCACCCAACAAAAGAAAGTGTACAGCATCACCAATCCATCATGAGACCAAGTGCCCTCACCACAAACCAAAGAGTGATTATCAAAGTCCACATTTAAATATGTCATTGAACATAATTCAAGGACATCACACAATTGAACAAAATTCATTCACTCTCACAAAGAATTCATGTGAATCCCGTGGTCGTACCATAAGCTTGCCCGTAGTGTATATCTCTACTAATCTAAGCTAGCCAAATCTAGGATCAATTAGGACTTTAAGGTTGTAATGTAGGCTAAGGGACGGGTAGAAGAATTATATAGTAGTGACTTACACTTCCCTAAGCACTTTGCACTTTGACTTCATCACCTATTATTTTCTGCTCTTCACTTTATTTTTCAGCCCTCTCTTCATCTATTGTTTCACAAGTATTTCCCTCATATCAAGAACGTTTCAAATTTTTTTTTCAAAGCAATTTTTTTCATTCCCCTTCTTTTTCTTTTCTTTTTCATGTCACATTCTTTTCAAGAAGGCCTTTTCATCACCTTTCAGCTATCATTGGTCACCATTTTTTTTTTACTTAACCATCCCATTCTTCAAATTTATCAATTAATATCACGGTCTAAGCAACAATGCTCAAGGAAGCAGGGTGCAAAAACTAGGGATTCAACAAAAGGATCAAGGCAAAAATACGGCTTCCAAACAAAAGGCTACAGGCACAAAGGGCTAACTAGTGGTACAATATCTAAAAAGGCTAAAATTCACAAGACATATCAAAGAAAGCCTATTATCATCTTCTAAACAGAGCAACACTTTTATTTCACTTCAATAACATGCAGGGCAAGTTCTAGACTAAGATGCAAAACATGGAATATATGTAAGAAATCCTCACCCCACATGGCACAAGTATCAATCAAGATGGATCAATTCCACTCTAAGACAGACAGGTTCAACGCGAACCACAAAATAAGAATAAGTTATATATAGAGTCACAACCCTGAGCTTGGGTGTCAGAAAGTCTGCTATTTTATTCATTACTCAAGCACTCAGAGGAAAGTACGACTCAAGCTTAGGCCTAAATATGCTAGTATCAAACAAGTAACGGAAGTTTTTTTTTCCTTCTCCCTCTTTTACTAGTCCTAAAATAAATCTAATCCTAAAAATAAAAAAATTTACCCGGTTCAAGCTACATCCCCTGGAAAAGAACCGATGCACAAAGAAAAACCAAGGGGGATTATTATCTAACTAAAACTAACTAGAAACAAAAGTAAAATATTTTTGATTTTTTTTTTGTTGGACCTTAATTCCTCAAGAAACCTGTCCACAAAATCCATCGTCGGGAAAAGTCCCAATTTTCTAAAAAAAATTCTTTTTTCATTTTTTTATTAATTTTATTTTTTAACACAAATAACTACACTAAGAAAAAGTACTACAACAAATCTAAGATAGCATAGAAAATTACCCAGACAATCTCCTCACCCCACATTTAAAATTGTGCAATGTCCTCAATGCACTGAAATAACAAGAGGGTAAAAGAAACTCCCTGGTAGGCCAAAGGCCAAAGAATTAGCAGCTCACGGGATACTCAGACTCCTCCCAGGTATGATCCCTTGTGCGGGTACCTCACACTTAGTTTCAACCACCTGCACGCTTTTGCACATGCCTATTGGCTTTGACTCCATGCTCCTACTCCTGCAAAACACAAAAATAATACTACAAAATAATAAAAATTAATTAAATAAACAAAAATAAAAGAAAGCAGTAAAGCTGGGTTGCCTCCCAACAAGCGCCTCATTTAACGTCGCGGCACGACGTAAATCACTTTTTGCCTCCACCTTCAACTTATGAATTGTACCCCTAACATGGCATCCAGTCTGTGGCTATGCTCTTTTGGTGGGGATACAAAAATAAATAGGCCAAGTAACAAATTTTTCATTCTATACTTCTCGGCCTTTATACGAGGAATGTAATTTTTTCTCTCTGGCACGACAAATCCAAGAATGTAAGCAGCTTTTTCCTCTTCCATTGACTCCTCCAGAAGCTCAGATGACTCGATTTCCATGTCATCATCCAAACACAATGTCGAAAAATGTTTAGAATGAGGACCAATACGCCCCAACTTTGGAATTGTATTACTATTTATATCCTCACATTTACATGCACTAGAGTCTTCAAATGTAACATTATCTACTCCCTCATATGACTCTAGAACACTCTTCCCAACATTGACATCCTCAAGAAAAATATGGTCTATTCTCGTTTTAGCTCTTCAATATGGTCTAGAAGATTTTTTTCTGCTTCACATAACTCATCATTAAATTGTTGGGCGTTATACGCATCAACCTTTGCACTTAAATCTGCATCTAAGTTATGCACATCCAAGCCAAACCTGTCAATTTCTTGTGCAAGTTCAACTCTCTCCTTAGACCAGTCATTCACCAATTTTGTTAAAAGATAACGACGTTCCTCGTATTCCCTTAATCGTGAATATTCTTCCCAATACCAACCCTTACTCCCATATTCAAATTCAGACCTCCCAGAAATCAGATCATGACAAGCCGAAAAAGACGGGCCATAAAAGTCTTCCATCAACCATGCTTCTTCGTCAATAACCTTACCTCCGGATATTTCATCCCCAGATGTTATGTTGAGAGAACTAGAAACACACTAAGAGAACGATCAAAATTGTTATAAAAATATTTACAAAAAGAGAAGGAAAAAAAAACTTGTAAAGATACAATTAAAAGTCTAATCTAGAAAAATAGTTAATTTCTAAGTCCCCGGCAACGGCGCCAGAAACTTGTTGCGGCCAAACGCACACGCAAGTATACACGGTCGTTAAGTAATAAAGTGACTAAAAGTCGGATGTCGAACCCACGAGGACTTGTGATTAACTATTAACTAAATTAGACTATCTTAATTATCTAAACAAGAATTAAAGCTAGAAATATTTGATTCTAAACTTATTAAATTAAGAAATATAAATAATGAACTTTGAACAGAGAAAGAGCAGATTTTTATGATATCAATGTAATGAAAACGATCTAGGGTTATGGGCTATCTAACATTCCTAATGTATTCTTCAATTGAATTGACTAACTAATTTATCTAGTTTATTGGTTAACAGGGTTAATATTGCTCATAAGAATTTGCCGAGTTCTTACTCGCCTATTCAAGCTAACCTAACTCCTATATGTCTATGGAATTAGAACTAACAAGAACACATTTATAATTCCTGTAAATTAACCAAGCAAGGTAATTAGGTATATGTCTATCCTAACCGCGAATCCGTTCCCCGATGCCCAGGTTCAAGAACTTGCTCTACTCAATCCTATATGCAATCTAGAATTCCCAGTTTCGAGTTCAATTCAAGATTCGTAGATGGTATTCAATTGGTGATCAAGCAATCAAATAATTAAGTGCAGGATTAAATAAATAAACCAATATGATAAACTAAGAAATCAAAATCAATATCCGAATAACAATAGTCATGAAAGAACCACAACCCTAGAACGTGAAGTTTAGCTCCACATAGACATGGTAGCAAAACAACAAATCATACAAATAAACATAAAAATTACTAAGTTCGATGGAAGAAAAGATGGAACTTGATGAATTCCGGCCTCCACAGCGGCTCTATGCTTGTGTTATCCTCTCAAAAACGTCCTCCTACCTCAAAGTAGGTTTTAGGATGGCTTTTATATCAATTGGAGGCGTCTTGGAGTGAAAATAACCGAGTCCAAGTCGGAATAGGACACTTTCACGTTCCAAACGTCCAGGGCAGCGTGGGGCGCTGGCCCTGGCGCTCAAAATATTGGCATACTGGAAACTGCGCCACAGTTAGCGCCCGACGCTGGCTGTGGCCCTCAAAATTGACTTTTTGCCTTTTTGCTCCGATTTCGCTCCAATTCGCGCCCTTTCGTCCCAAATTGCATCCGAATGATTCCTACACATAGAAACACCATAATTTAGCACAAATCATCATATTAAACATCTAAAATCATCGGAACAAGAGCAAAATGCGAGGCGATATATATATCAAAATATACATACTTTATGCCGATTATCAATATTCATTACTGTTTCTCTCATATTATGTTTTCCCTATCTGTTAAATCTCCAACTTATCAGCCGACCGCTCTAGAAGGAGCATATCTATTACCAGTTCTATCGTGTATGAGTATAATAGTCAAAGCCTTAGCATCTTATGAAATCGCACAGGCTATTATAAGTGCTCTATCAAACAATACTGTAATTCATGCTGTTATGCATTATGCACATGGTCCTCTTTTAGTTTTCAGCTTTTGTTTTTCAGTTTTATTTTTGGATGACTGAGAATTTGTTTTTCTTTGTTAGTAGGGAATCATTCTATACGGTTCAGAAGCAAGCTTTACACTCAAGGCTTTGGTGATTGGTCAGCCCTCTTTGCCTAAGCATACACTGTCCTCTTTTTCTCCATGAACTTGTGTGCAATTATGCTGGAAAAGTTTGGGATTTGTTACATGTTAATGGATCGCGTTAATCGTTTGCCATTGTTGAGAAACTTCTTCATTCTTCTATTAACGCCAGCGCTGTGCATTTCTACCCCAAGTTTGTAATTCTTCTACTGGATTTGCATTAATGATCCTCTTTTGTTGTGTGTGCTTTTTGAACAGTCTTTGCTAGAGCCTGTCATACAGTTGTAGTTTCTTATGCATAGTGAACTTGAGTCATACTTGTAAATTTGATCTAGTATGAAAATTGCAACAGAGGTTTGAGGATTCTTAAATGTAATTGGCTGTTTGAGGAGTTATATAATCATGTGTTAAGTGGACTGATGTAGACAGAAAATGTTTTCCTCAAAGATGATCATTCAAAATTTACTAAACGTAGGTCATATTTCAGTCCATTTTAATCTTTCAAATGTTTGCTTTTCTCTTTTTCCTCCTCATATAACTAACGACCACCAAAGGTTGTGGTAGGGTGGTAAGTTCCTCCTTCCTTAACTAGATGTATCGGGTTCGAGCTTTGAGAACAGAGTTATTTTTATGTAGAGAAGTGCTTTACCCCAAAATGGGACTGGACTTTTCGGTGCGAATCTAGGTTAGTCGGTACAAAGGGACTATGAAAGATTTGTACCACTGATCACAAAGATACTAGAGTTAGTACTTGTGACACTGCTGTTCGATGTGATTCCTGGTCACTGAATGTCTTATTGGGACCAAAGTATATTTAAACGTTTTCTGTAATAGCATTCGGGTTTTTCACGATAGAAGTGAGGCTGTAGAAGATAAGAATAACAAGTGTTTGAAATTTTGATTTTCTCTTGACTGACAATTTTTGTTAATGACTTGATTTTTGTAAAAAGGTAAGATTTATTTCGTTTATGGGTTCAACAATTTCATCTTTCGAATTTTGAGAATATTCAAGTGTAATAAAAAAATTATTTAAAAAGAGAATAAAGGATCTAATCTTTTTGCACAAAATTAGAAAAAGAATAAACGATCTTATCTTCTTAGGAAAAAGAGGCAAAACATATAAATATACACATAATACCTAAAACTTTTTGCACAAGTATGTTTATCTTTAATAGTTCAAAAAGCTGCAATTGTTCCAAGCCATAATAGAAAACAATTACAGTACCAAAATGTGATAAAGACGGATAAGATTCTTCCATCCTTATTTGAATATATCGTGTTTGAGCTCTAAAATTATAAAATTCCTGATAAAGAATATTTTCTCTTTAATGTATGTTACATGACTCGAACACGGATCAGTCTAGTCAAGGGATTTCATATACCAGATGAGTCAAAAATAATGAAACGAAGGTATACTTTATGCACTTTGTGTTTTCTCTAAATGAAGCAATTTAAGTTTAATAGTCAAGAGAATATATAATACTATTAGTTAATCATACAACAACAATAATAAATCCAGTGTAATCCCACAAGTGGGGTCTGGAATAGGCAGAGAAGTTGTTTCCGAAAGACGCTCGGCTTAGGAAAGATAAAAGGACACCAATAATAAAACCGAAGCAAAGATACAAAGATATTACTATTAGTTAATCACAGGGGACAAAAATTTACATAAACAACAATTTTTTATATTTAGAGCCCGTTTGGATTAGCTGATTTGAAGTAACTGATAAGCATTAGGTGCTGAAAAGCACTTTTACGTGCTAAAACTGATTTAATAAAGGGAAATTTTCGTTCCTATACCATATAAGAAACTATATTACCAAAAATATGTTCATAGTTTGCATATTACCCTTCATGCTAATAGTATTTCTACAAAATATAGACAATGCATTAAATAAGGAATCAATGTAGCTGTAGGATTCCTTATTTAGGCGCGCTAAAATTGGAGAATTAAATATTCTTCCAGATCTTCTACAACGTAAATCACGCACATTCATAATTATCGTCTGATTCGTTTCAAATTTTCCACACTCTGTTTTTGCGATACACTCTGTTTCAACCTTTTTTCTGATTTCACAAATCAAAAACGACTAAATCTTCTGCAACAAACGCAATTATGTCCAAATTTCAGTAATACAAAGCAAAGGAAAAGAGAACAGCAATTCCACCATTGACATTAAAAAGCTTTGAAGTTTTGAATTCAAATTTGGGTTTTCAAAAATCATTATTTGTTTGGATTAGGTGTTGTTGAAAATAATTGGGAATATGGTTTGGAGTTTATATCTCAATTGTAAGGGGTTTTGGTGAAGATTAGACTTGGTTTTGGCTGAATTTCGGATTGAAACTCGAAAAAGAAGAAGAAGAAGACATGACATACATTATATTGCAGAAATTGTAGAAAAATTGTAGTAAATTTGTAGAAAAATTATAGATTGTTGTTTATTTATTTTTCTTTTATTCATTTACATATTGAATGAAAGTTGAACAACATTGTATAAATATTATATTTAAGTGGTATTATATTGTAGTTGTATATAACTTAGTAGAAATAATGTACGAAATTTGTAGATAAGTTGTGTGACGACCCAAAGGGTCATCACCTGTATTCCTACTCCCTCTGTACATCTGAGGCCCTGGAAACCTCGTTTGGGGTTGCCTCGAGTTGAGTGCGCAGTCCGGGCGCGTAGTCGGAAAAGTTTAAATATGAAACTTGTGAGAAAAATTGTTAAATCTTGGTATTTAATTGATTCAGTTTGACTTCGGTCAACATTTTGGGCAAACGGACCCGGACCCGTGATTTGACGGTCCCGGAGGGTCCGTAGGAAAATATGGGACTTGGGCGTATGCCCGGAATCAAATTCCGAGGTCCCAAGCCCGGGAAATGAATTTTTGTGTGAAATTATTTTCTGGAAATAACTAAGGAAATTGAAAATAAAATTTGATTAAAAGACTGTGGTATCGGGCTCGTATTTTGGTTCCGACGCCCGGTACAAGTCTTATATGCGGCTTAAGTACTTTCTGTAAAGTTTGGTTGAATTTGGACGTCGTTTGACGTGTTTTGGACTAAAAACTCTAAACTTGATGTTTTATGAAAATTGGAAGGAATCATGGGTCTTGAGGCCTAATTCGATGTTGTTTTGGCGATTTGATCGCACGGATGAGTCCGTAGGATATTTTTGAGTTTATATGTATGTTCGGTTTGGAGCCCCGAGGGCTCGGGTGAGTTTTGAGTAGGTCCCGGGAGGTCTTAGGCTAGAAATATCAGATGGTTGCAGGTCCAGGTGTTGCAGGCCCCCAGCGCGGCCGCGGTCATTACCGCACTGTCCGCGCTGGAAGCCGCGCGGCCGCGGTGCATTTCTGCGCGGTCCGCGTGGCTAAGTTCAGAGGGCCAGTGAATTCTAGGTCGACCAGTGCGGCCGCGGTCCAAATCAGTGCGGTCCGCGCTGGGTAGGTTCAGAGAGTCATTTTTCTTCCCTTCCTCGGCGCGGCCGCGGTGCATTTTTGTGTGGTCCGCGCCAGTCTCCAGCACAGTATATAAAGTTGAGATTTTCAGTCATTTCTTCACTTTTTCAAAACCCAAAACATAAGAGGCGATTTTCCAAACGATTCTACTTCTTCAAAACGATTGGTAAGTGATTTCTAACTGATTTTCTTTACTCCTTAACATCCTTAAACATAATTTCAACTTCAAGACAAAGATTTTTAATGGGGAAATTGAGAATTTAGGGTAGAACCTAGGTTTTCTAAAATTGGGGGTTTTGAACCTCAATTCGAGGTCCGATCCCAAAATAACTTACATAATTGAGTTCGTGGGGGAATGGGTAATCGGGTTTTGGTTCGAACCTCGGGTTTTGACCATGTGGGCCCGGGGGCATTTTTGACCTTTTGGGGTAAATTGATGAAAAAGCTATAATTAGTCATTGGGTTGGATTTGTTTAGCACACATTGATAACACGAAGTCCTTATTGCATAGATTTGGTCGAGTTGGAGCCGAATTCGAGAGGGAAAGCGAGATTGGAGGATTGTATTGGCCGTGGAAGTTGAGGTAAGTGTTTGGTTTAACCCTAGCTTGAGGGAATAGGAGTCGAGTCTTGTTTGCTAATTGCTAAATGATCGAGTGCGATGTATAGGCATGGTGACGAGTTCCTATACATTGGGGTCTAGCATGACTGTGAGTCCTTATATGTGGGTTGTTTGAATATTGTTATGCCTTCCATGCTTATTTGATGGCTTCGATGCGTTGTAAACACCTTGTGAAAGATATTGTGATTGTGGAAATTCGTGGAGCATTGGCTCGGTCTGAAATACACATGGTGAGAGCATATGAAATGAGAAATGCCTTGTAGTTTGACACGAGTGCTAATGAGAACTAGGATATGAAAATTAAAGAAAAAGAGAAATAACGATTTACTCTTGCATGGTTGTTATTGGTTGTTTGTGTACCCTTGTTGGGATTTCCTTCCAAATACTTGTTTACTCCCTTGCCCTTTATTTGTTACTGTTGCTTGGGCAAGGTTGAGAGGTATACATTACGGATCGGGTTGCGCGCCGCAATAATGTTATATGAGGATCGGGTTGCATGCCGCAACAATGATAATTGTGGATCGGGTTGCACGCCGCAACAGTGAATAATTGAGGATCGGGTTGCACGCCGCAACAGTGATAATTGTGGATCGGGTTGCACGCCGCAACAGTGATAATTGTGGATCGGGTTGCACGCCGCAACAGTGTTGAAATGTATTAGGGTCGGGTTGCGCGTCGCAACAGTTATTGATGCAAATGTGTAGTGTTGGTATTAGTTTCTTGTCCGCCGAAAATTTTAAATTGCACTTAGATTGATTACTTTGGATTTACTGTTAATATTGTTATCTCCCCACAACATGTTTCCCTCCCATACTGTTAGTTGCCTTGTACTTCGATTTCTGCTATATATTTATAATTGCACAGGTTTATGTGGGGTCCAGTCTAGCATCGTCACTACTTCGCCGGGGTTAGGCTAGGCACTTACCAGCACATGGGGTCGGTTGTGCTGATGATACACTCTGTGCATTTTGCACAGGTCCAGGTATTGAGCAGCAGCAACAGCATTAGCACGGGGGCGAACCTTCAGTCCAGAGAGACCCGAGGTAGCTTGCAGGCGTCCGCAGGCCCGGCGTCTCCCTTCTATCTTTACATTTGGCTGTCATCTCATTGTACCCGAGATAAATAGATTATGTTTCTTTCAGACTTTGTATGTAGTACTCCTTAGATGTTCGTGAGTATGTGACACCAGTCCCGGGGTAGAGACGTATGTTGGAATTTCTGTATTTTATTCAGTTATGTAATTTAAGTCTTCCGCTAATGATTTTAATTCCGTCGCCTTTATTTAATGCCGTTAATTGTTAAAAAGGAACATGTGTCTAATGAATTTGTTAATTAAGTTCG